GAAGCCTGAAGCGGCCTGACAGGCTGAACTGACCGCAAAACTGACAGCCTGACGGACTCACAGGCCTGACAGACTGAGCTCGACTTCCCTCCTCCTTTCCCCAACCCCCATCCCGCTGACGAGCTCCTGAGCTGTCTCATGAGGGCTCAAGCCCTGAGTCATGAGGGCTCAGAGGAGGCCCCTGAAAGGCGCGGCGCCGGAAGGCCCGAGGCGGCTGAACAGCTGGCTCATCGTGGTTGGCTTGCGAAGCTGTCCCTGTGGCTGATCCCGGGGCGGCTCATCGTAGCTGCCGTTGTGGGAGTCCTCACTCTCCTGAGTCGTCTCCTGAGCCCCACTCCCTGTGCTCTGCGCAGGGCGTTTCTTGACTGACGCGGCCTCTTTGCTGATCTCCGCGGCAGGCCTCTTCCTCGGTGCTGTCTTGGCTGCAGGGCGTTTCTTGACTGACGCGGCCTCGTCCTCACTTGGGTACTTGTAGCGCCTGAGCTCCTCTTCCGTCATGGCGTCGAAGCCCTGAGGAACTCCGCGCCCGAAATAATCTGAAGACTCCGAAAACTCCTGCGGACATGGCGGGACTGAAGACATTGCGGAACTGAAGCTTGCGTGAGAAGCTGAACACTCTCGAGCTCTTCTGAACCAAAACGCCTACTGAAGCTCCCTGGAGCCCTTTAGGGTGCCTCGTGGATGCCTCCTGGACCGTCTTGGACTCTTATTGGGCCCTCTTATTGGGCTCTCTTATTCTTATTCTTTTTCTTGTGGTTATGCTTGCCCATTATTCGAGGAAGTCTCAGGCGGGAGCCCCTCCCTGTGGAGCCCGCACTTCATCGGAGTACTGTAGCAGGCATAGCACTTGAGCACTCCACTGAGCAGCCAGACACGCGCTGAGAGCGCGCTGGATACACGCGTGGAGGAACCTCTCCTGGGGCGCCGTCGTCTGAAGGCCGAGCACTGGAAAGACGCTGGACCACTGAAGCTCTCACCCGGACCATCCGTCTCACGAGGGCCTCACGAAGGACACTGACTCCTCCTCCGCGTCCTAACGAAGAGCCTTTGTGAAGAGAGGAACATATAATGAATGATGGATGCTGAAAAGTTTGTGAGCTCAGCAATCCGGTTGAAAACTGCACGATAAGCTGAAAACTGAATAGCGCCTCAAAGCGGACGCCTCAACGCCGCGGCTTGTCTGGGAAACATTCTGAGCACAACTCCCGCCTCATCGCATGCTTCGAGGCTGACTTCAGCCTAGGGCAATTGGCTGAAGCGTGAACCATCGTGCGCTCACCGGTCGTGTGGAAGAGAGCCTCGACGTGACGTCCAAACTGATTCCTGAGCACTGCCCGTGGAGGATCGCTGACCGCCTCGCCCTTCTCCTCTGCCTGGACTTTCGAGGGGGGTGCTGACGACGCAACCCTGACCCGCGCGCGGCAGCGCCACCCTGCGACGAAGCCGAAGACGGCGCAGGAAGCTGACCAAATCACAAAGAAGCTGAGGATATCTTCCATGAGCTGATCTCAACAGAGCTAATGCCAACAGGCTTGAACCAACCGGCTTGAGCCCAGCAAGCTTGAGCCAAAATGGTTACGGCACCGAACAGCGAGGGTCGAGCACTGGAAAGACGCGTGGCCACTGAAGCTGTCTGACTCCTCCGCACGCGTTTCCTCATTCTTTCAGGAGGGAGCCCTGTCTGGAATCCAAAGGCCTGAATATGGAGGAAGTCTCAGGCGGGAGCCTTGTCTGTGAGCGCGTCCTCCTCCGTGTCCTCCTCCTCCTCCTCCTCTTCCTCCTCCTCCTATTGCTCTTCCTCCAGCCCCGATTTTTCCAATTAGATTTCTATTGCAACCCCTTTTGGAAAAATTGATTTTTCGGCCGTCGTATGAGGTGGTCCATCCCAGGGTATCGCCCCCGCCCCGCACCGAGGCGTTATCTTAGCACCCGGCAGGGCCAAAATAAATCCCCGAGCCAGAGTTTTAGTGGATCCGTGTAAATGGTTAACTACGGCACCGAACAGCGAGGGTCGAGCACTGGAAAGACGCGTGGCCACTGAAGCTGTCTGACTCCTCCGCATGCGTTTCCTTATTCTTTTAGGAGGGAGCCTTGTCTGGAATCCTGAGGCCTGAATATGGAGGAAGTCTCAGGCGGGAGCCTTGTCTGTGAGCGCGTCCTCCTCCGTGTCCTCCTCCTCCTCCTCTTCCTCCTCCTCCTCCTCCTCCTCCTCCCTCTCTTCCTCCAGCCCCGATTTGTCCAATGAGATTTGCATTGCAACCCCTTTTGGAAAAATTGATTTTTTCGGCCGTCGTAGGAGGGGCGGTCCATCCCAGGGCATCGCCCCCGCCCCGCACCGAGGCGTTATCTTAGCACCCGGACGGACCCAAAATAAATCCCCGAGCCAGAGTATGAGTGGATCAATGTGAAATTCAAAAAAAGCTCAGGAAAAGCAAAGGCAAGCAAAAGAAAAGCTGAGAAAAGCTAAGGAAAAGCTGAGAAAAGCTAAGGAGCAGCTAAGGAAAAACTAAGAAAAGCTAAGAAAAGCTCATAAAAGCAAAAGGAAATGTAAGGAAAAGCTGGTAAAAGCTAAAGAAAAGCTGAGAAAAGCTAAGGAAAAGCTGAGAAAAGCTAAGGAACATCTAAGGAATAGCTGTGGAAAAGCTGATAAAAGCTGATAAAAGCTAAGGAAAAGCTAAAGAAAAGCCGAAAAAAGCTAAGGAAAATCTGAGGAAAGCTAAGGAAAAGCTGAGAGCAGCGAAGGAAAGCTAAGGAAAAGCTAAGAAAAGCTAAGGAACAGCTAAAGAAAAACTTGGGAAAAAGCTGATAAAAAACTGATAAAAGCTAAAGAAAAGCTAAAGAAAAGCTGAGAAAAGCTAAGGACAAGCTGAGGAAAGCTAAGGAAAAGCTGAGAACAGCGAAGGAAAAGCAAAGGAAACGCTGAGAAAAAATTGAGGAAAGCTGAGAAAAGCTCCGGAAAAGCAAAGAAAAGCTTTAGAAAAGCTTAGAAAAGCTAAGGAAAAGCTGAGAAAAGCTAAGGAACAGCTAAGAAAAGCTGAGGAAAAGCTGATAAAAGCAAAGGAAAGGTAAGGAAAAGCTGTGAAAAAGCTAAGGAAACGCTGAGAAAGGCTAAGGAAAAGTTGAGACAAGCTAAGGATCAGCTAAGGAAAAGCTAAGAAAAGCTGAGGAAAAGCTGATAAAAGCTAAAGAAAAGCTGAGAAAAGCTGAGGAAAAGCTGCGAAAAGCTAAAGAAAAGCTCAGAAAAGCTGAGGAAAAGCTGAGATGTCCTGGGTTCGCGTCGGGGCCTGTCGCTCCTTGCGGAATAATAATTAGGCCCACCCCTTGTTCCGTCCACGCAAAAAATGCACCCCAGCCCCTCCCCCCAGTCGCCCGCCCGAGCGCGGTTGCGGAATCGCGCGGCAGCGCCACTGAATGCGACGCAACTCAATCATAGCTGACATAGCTGAGAAGGCGAGCTCTGAGAACAGCTGACGCAGTTGAGAAGGCGAGCTCTGAGAACAGCTGACATAGCTGAGAAGGCGAACAATCGGTGCCTGGGTCGCTGACATGGCTGAGAAGGCGAGCGCTGAGAACAGCTGATGTCTCTCCTCGTTTGGATGTATTCTGGATGGGCTGGTGGGGATCACGCAAAGCCTGAGAATTTGCTGAGATGTCCTAGGTGCGCGTCGGGGCCTTTCGCTCCTTGCGAAACAATAATTAGCCCCACCCCCCCCCGTTGCGTCCACGCAGAAATTGCGCCCCAGCCCCTCCCCCAGGTCGCCCGCCCGAGCGCGGTGGCACCACTGAATGCGATGCACCGAAAGAGAGCAAGGCGATGTGTTTCTGAGCGACGCCTGCGCACGGCGCCTGATCTCTTAAAGCGTCAGCGAGCGCTGACAGCCCTGGCGTCGACGTGACGCCCCGGCGCTGAAAGCCCTGGCGCTGAAGGGAGCGGTCTCGTTCAAAACGCGAGCACTGAAAGCCACCTGAAAAAATTGGAGCCGCGCTGGAACTGAAGGCGGGGAGACAGGCTAACAGGCTAACACCATCTGCCTGACAGGCTAAGCTCGCCCTCCCCTCCCTGCCGTCCCCTTCCCCAAGGAAAAGCTGGGGAAAAGCTGAGAAAAGCTGAGAAAAGCTAAGGAAAAGCTGAGAAAAGCTCAGGAAAAGCTAAGGAAAAGCTTAGGAAAGGCTAAGGAAAAGGTAAGGAAAAAGTGAGAAAAAGTAGGGAAGAGCTGAACAAAGCTAAGGAAAAGCTGAGAAAAAGCTAAGGAAAAGCTGAAAAAAGCTAAGGAAAAGCTGAGAAAAAGCTAAGGAAAAACTAAGGAAAAGCTAAGGACAAGCTAAGGAAAAGGTAGGGAAGAGCTGAATAAAGCTAAGGAAAAGCTGAGGACAGCTAAGGAAAAGCTGAGAAAAGCTGAGGAAAAGCTGAGAAAAGCTAAGGAAAAGCTCAGAACAGCGAAGGAAAAGCTAAGAAAAGCTTAGGAAAAGCTAAGAACAGCTAAGGAAAAGCTAAGGAAAAGTTTAGAAAAAGGTAGGGAAGAGCTGAATAAAGCTAAGGAAAAGCTGAGGACAGCTAAGGAAAAGCTGAGAAAAGCTGAGGAAAAGCTGAGAAAAGCTAAGGAAAAGCTCAGAAAAGCTAAGGAAAAGCTAAGGAAAAACTAAGAAAAGCTAAGGAAAAGCTGAGAAAAAGGGAAAGCTAAGGAAAAGCTAAGGACAAGCTGAGAAAAGCTAAGGAAAAGCTGAGAAAAGCTCAAGAAAAGCTCAGGAAAAGCTGAGAAAAGCTTAGGAAAAGCTGAGAAAAGCTAAGGGGAAGCTAAGGAAAAGCTAAGGAAACGCTGAGAAAAGCTAAGGAAAAGCTGAGAAAAGCTAAGGAAAAGCTGAAAAAGAGCTGAGGAAAACTAAAGAAAGGCTCAGAATAGGAAAGGACAAGGAATTGCACGGGGGAGGAGAGGGGGGGGGGAGGAGAGGGCCCCCTACTCCGCAGTCCTGGCTCCCAGCCCTCAGTCCTGAGGAACGGCCTAATAAAAGCCGTACAGGTCCACGATCTCCTGAGGCGTCAACTGACCCATGCGGTTCTCCTTGCTCGCTGTCTCGTCGTACTGCTGACCGTGAAGATGCTGACCCCGCTGATTGCGGAAGTCCGCCTTCAACGTCGTGATCTTCACGCCGTCTGAGGCCTCACCGGACTCAGTCATTGCTTTGTTGACGATGATGCTGAGGAGCGCCGCTGAAGGCACGGTGTGAGTGCGCTGGTAGAGGTTGCGCGAGTAGCGGCTGAGTTGCTGAAAGGCTTGACGACTGCCGTACGCCGCATCCTGATTCAAGTCCCACTCGACAATTGCCGAGATGACCTGACGGCAGCATTCGAATGGGCTGAATTCCAAGCCCATGAGGCGCCGCTCGATGAACGCGCAGCGCTGAGATACCCCATCGACGATGTAGTACATGCCGTCGAGGTTCTCTGAAACCACGCTGATCTTCCACAAGATGGCGCCGAGGACGAAGAGGACTGCCAGACCGAGCACGCTGACCACCAGCTGCTCGCTGACCTGAGCTACGGAGATGGAAGAGAACGAGGAGGAGGAGGAGGAGGAGGTGGACCAGCGGGGCCGCGGCGACCGCGGCGACCGCGGCGACGGCGAGGGCGCTGACGAAGCCCTGCACCATCTGCATCTGACGGCTGCAGGCTGAAGCCTGAAGCCTGAAGCCGGAAGCCTGGAGGAAGCCTGAAGGCTGCAGCCTGAAGCCTGAAGCCTGAGCCGAAGGTGCTGCGTCGCCGTCGCCGTCGCCGTCGCCGCAGCCGTCGCCGCCGCCGCCGTCGCCGTCGCCGTCCCCGTCCCCGTCGCCCTCGCCGTCGTCGTCGTCGTCGTCGTCGTCGTCGTCGTCGTCGTCGTCGTCGTCCTCGTCCTTGTCCTCGTCCTCGTCCTCGCCCTCGTCATCGTCCTCGTGCTCGTCCTCGCCCTCGTTCTCGTCCTCAGTGTGTGTGTACCGCAGCGAGAGACCACCCCTTTGTGCACCCCCTATGGTGTCGAGAAAGTGCCACGCCTGCTATGCTTGGACGACTGGGACGTATAGAGACCGCGGTGAGAGACCACCTCCTACGCACCCCCTATGGTGTTGAGACAGTGCCACGCGAGGGGGGGAGGAGGGAGGAGGTGGGGGGAGGAGGGAGGAGAGACAGGAGGAGGGAATGGTTTCATGTGGTCCTGAGGGATTGGAAGCGATTAAGAAGCCCCCCCCCCTGCGAGACCCGTCGGGAACCACTTTGAAACTTGTGGGACCTGCGAGACCTGCGGGACTCCGTGGGACCCGTGCGATCTGGTGTACCCCCTCCTGGTGCCAGGATAACGCTTCCGGGCGCCGGGTGCGTTATCCTTTCGCCGGAAGGGGGGGGGGGGGGGTTCCTTAATCGCTTACTGGGGTTAATTAGCGGGCGCACGAAACGGGTCGGACGCCGAGCAAGCTAGGGCGGGCCGCGCTCCGAAGCTCAAAGAAAAACAGAGAGGCGAGCAGCGTCTGGCTCAGAGCGGGACGGGGCTCAACGGTCGGCGTGTGTGAGGGGCTTGTCCGTTCAAGTCGTCATCTCCGTCATTCGTTGGTCGTCGTCTCTGTCGCCCCCTCTCCCTGCCTCCCCCTTTCCCTGGGCTCGTCGAAACTCCCCCCCGCCAGCCCAATCGAAGTTGAGCAACGTCGAAATTGACTCGAAGGAAGTCCCTTCTCTTCGATCCCTCCCCCGCCGGGGGGGAGGGGGCCCCGGGGGAGGGGGGTCAGATACGACGCCCCCCCGGGGAGTCCCTGAGTTCAAAAAAACCCTAAGAATGGCCAAGAGTGCCCCAAGAGGCCCCAAAGACAGTCCAATAGAACCCCGAATCGCTGAACGATCTGTCCCAGACGCCTTGACGGCCTCCAGACGGCCCAAGAGGCCTGCAAAGCGCCCCAAAAGGCCTCGAGGAGCTCCCCCACGGGAGCACCAACAGGCAAAATTCCAGAATTCCCCATATGTTTTTGACAGATGTTGGCGTTTTTGCCTAGACGGCCCAAGAGGCCCCCAAAATCGCCCCGAGACGGCCCAAGAGGCCCCCAAGAGGGTTCCCTAACTGCCGAAGAGGGCCCCAAGACGGCCCAAGACGCCTCCAAGGCGGCCCAAGAGGACCCCAAGACGGCTCCAGGAGAGTGCCCAGACGGGGGACCCGAATGGACATTTCGAGCCTTCGGCCCCAAGAGGCTCACAGGAGGCCCCAAGAGGTTCCCGAGAGGCCCCAAGAGGCCCACAAGAGATCCCCAGGAAGCCCGAAGAGGGCCCCAAGAGGCCCCCAAGAGGCCCCAAAGAGTCCCCCAAGAGGCGCCACAATTCCTACATATTTGCAGATTGGGCTCCGAGGAGGGAGCGCCCGCCCCCTCTTTTCCACACCTGTGGCAAGCCAAAGTGCTGCAGCATCAACGCGCACATGCACGACAGTAACATACACACCAGGGGCCTCCCCGGGGCCCTGAGATCAGCACTGACTAAAAACAAAAATTGTGCGTCACTGAGGCTGCACACCCTAAACGCAAAACTCTCAAGCTCACGGCGCCCGGGGCGGCACCCGGCTCCTCGAGCTCGGAGGAGACGAGGAGGGAGTGGCAGCGGTCGGCGTCGGCTGCTCGGCCTCCCCGTCCTCCATGCCCTCGTCAACCGTCGTGAGAAGAAAGTCTCGGGACGCCTTGAACTCACGGATCATCATCTTGATGAACTTCAGGCGCTGGTCGTCGTAGTCCGCCAGCTCCTGGTTCCCCCACTCGCACAGGTTCTCGATCGCCTGGACGAACTCCCTGTCCTCGGGGAGCTTCGTAGAAATGACGCTCCACGCGTCCGAATCTGACTGTCCTGGCACGCCCTCGTATGAGTGCTGCGCCGGTACCCGTAGGCTTTCCATGACTGACTCCATGCCCTCGAGCACCTCCGGGCCCTTGCCGTCCAGCACCGCGAGGTAGGCGCTGTCCAGGTGCTGCATGTACAGCAGCGCCGAGTCCTCGATGATGGCCGCCGTTCTGATGGCGATGTTTCCAGTCCCCTTGCTCCACGTCAACGTCACACGATTGCGGTGCTGGCGGCTGTCTGGATCTCCCAGGATCTGCATGTTGGTCACGACCTTGCACGTCGTCCCCGAGTGGCGGACTGGCTCCGCCTGGATGCTCTCGAACAGGCTCCTGACTCCGTCCTCCGTCAGGCAGCTCTCGAATTTGACCATGGCCGGGCGCCGGTGGCGTCGGCTGGCGACTGGGCCGATCCTTCCTGCTGCCAGCCGAAAGAAGCTGACGACGGACACGCTCTTGGGCTGCTGCTGCCATGACGGCTGGCTCGTCGGCTAACTGATATTTACCGCTTGTCATTGTGGCTCTCAACATATCTGCTGGCTCGGCTTTGTCTTTAGTCAATATATCTGCTAGCTGAAGGGCTGATGGTACCCACCGATAGCTCACACCTAGACGTTTCACGCTCTCCTTAGTGATGACTAGATCGACCGCCACTCGCTTGTCCGAACATGACCCCGCACTCCCACAGCCGACGATGTGATCGTACAACGACTTACAGTCCGTGACCGCAATGGGAGCCAACTTCGGAAGGCACTCAGATCGACGACGCAAGCAGAATTTTCCATCGCTGCCCTCGAGGAGCAGGCAGGAGATCCACTCGAGGTGACCTAGGCCGTCCATCTGGGCCTGAGTCTCCGCGGCGAGAGTCGACGATGTAACTCGACGAAGGCGATAGCTTTTCCAGACCAGCGGGCTCCAGGGGCTCAACTCGTTTCGGATCATGTTCTCGTCGGTCGCAGCGATGACGTAACCTGCCTGGGTCCCGGATTTCGAGGCGTTCTGGTTCGAGGCGTCGGCGTGCATGATGACCCGGAGACGTTCGATCGGAATCGGTTTGATCTTCCAGGACAGGTTCGAGAACTGTTTTGCCCTCCTCACGATCGCGTTCCCGTGTCTCACCTCCCCCACCGTCGGCCTGGGCATGCACTGCTGGCCCATCGAGACCTGGGCTGCTAGATCTGGCCTGGACTCTCGAGCTAACCAGTTGCCACTACCGAGCATCGCGCGGAAGTTCGCGATTTCCTTCTCGGTTGCCGGGGTCTCCGGGGGCGCTCGGGGTCTCACGCCAGCGGGCTTCATCGACTCAGCGAACTCCTTCTGAGACACGGTTATCTCCATGGTCACGGGATTCTGGACAAGATATGACCCACAGAACTTCCCCTCGTTGACCTTCCACTTGGGAAAAGGGAACCTCATGCGCAGAAATCTGATGAAAGCGTTGTACTTTTTCCCTTTTCCTCCAGTCAGTATGTCATCGACGTGCGTCGATATCAGTCCCTGCAGTTGCCGACCCTCGAACAGGAAGAACAGGCACGGGTCGAGCTTGGACTGGCGCCAGCCCTCGCACCCGTCGCTCGGCTTCCAGTCCAGGACGGTGTCCCTGAATTTGCCCCACCACTGAGCCGGGGCGTCGTTGAAACCGTAGATCGGCCTGATGACCTTCAGCAGCTGGTCGGGGTGCAAGCCGGGAAGGCCTCCGCGCGGCTGCTTGAGGTACAGGTCCCCATTCTTGCGCTTGATGGGGTCCGCCTCGAGGAAGGCCCCCTCGACGTCCCCGATCTGAACCTGGAAGCCGTGCGAAGCCAACAGCTGGCAGGCCACGACCTTCCCGTTCTGTGATAGGGTCGGGGAGGAGGTCTTGTTCTCGCGCACGAGCTGCATCAGGTCGGGATCCATGTAGCCCTGACTGCACAGGCGCGCCTTGACCACCTCCATCTCAGAGTCGTCGATCTTACTCGTCAGGATCATCCGGCTGCCGACGATGCGCTCTGGACTGTTCCGTCGGATCTCATCCGACTCGACCCGAGACGCAGGCGCCAGCGCCTGCTTCTTGTTGAACAGGTTGTCCACCTCCTTGCCAATGCCGGCGTCGATCTTCGCGAGCCCCTCCCGGCTGGTCCACTTTGGATCCTTCCTGTTGAGCTCGCGCCTCCCGCCGGCCAACATCGCGTCCTCCAGCTCCTCATCGTCCTCGGAGTTGACGCACAGCACGCGCAGCTCCTTCTCGTCCTCCACGGTGTCGGACACCACGCTCGCCAGCAGCACGCTGCAGACGTCCTCCGACAGCCTAGGCATCTTCGCCTGAGGAGTTGGCAGCGGTTCCTCAGGTTCGACCCTGGGCGCCTTGGGAGGCCGCACCTCGGCCGGGTAGACCGCCCTCTTGCCCGCCAGTCGGCGGTGCACCTTCGATTCAGCGGCCATCTCGTCGGCCGGTGGAGCGGCAGGTACATCAGCGGGTTGTGCCGCCTCAGCGTCCCCCTCGCGGTCATCGGAGTTCGGCTGCACCTGCGGCTCCTCCGCTGCTCCTCCGGCGGCTCCTGCGCCGCCGGGCTCGGAGCCGCGCCAGCAGGCGCTGCGCCGGGAGGTCGCTCATCCGCGGTGATGTCCATGAAGCCGCGCTGCGGACCCTGGCCGTCCATGAACTCCTTCGCCAGGGCTCGAAGCTCGGGCTGGACGACCTCGGCGGCCAGCTTCTCCTCCTCGGTGGCGTGCCGGAGCTGCTCCGGCGACGCCTTGATCACCGCGCCTGGCATGGCGACCCAGAAATTGCCGCGCACGGGGCCCAGGATCACGGCCGACCCGCGCCAGCGGGCGTGAGCCTTCTTGCCGGGAATGCCCCGACCTCGGCGCCACACAGCCACGCGATCGCCCGGCTTGAATGACTGTGCGACTCTGGGGCGGCTGTCCAGAGCAACCCTGTCCGCGCGATTGTCCATGTATTCCAGAACGGCGATCCTCGCAGCTTGTCGGCATCTCTCCATCTCGGCGAACGGCTCGTCATGTAGGGCAGCGCTGTTGGCGACGATGTTCGGCTCCTCCTGCATCAAGTCCGTCGGGACCTCCGGGTTCCTCCCCAGGGCGATCTGGCACGGCGAGAAGCCGTGGACACGCAGGAGGGAATTTTTCGCCATCACCACCGCGCGCACACAAGTCATGTATTCGGCCTCGTCCTTCGGATTCGTCTGGTCCAACACCTTGTTCAGAATGTCCTCGAACCAGGTGCCATGGCGCTCGGCGTGACCAACTTGTTCGTGGGCCTCCCCAGCCGCGTCGCTGACCTCCGCGCCCTGCCTCTCGAACGCGTCGACGATCTCCTGGCCCAGGTTGGTCTTTCCAGCATCACACTTGATAAGTACCGGAGGTCCATGCGGCTGGCTCCAGCCGTTCTCAAAGAGCTCCTTCAGCACCTTGCCGGTCTCTTGCACGAAAAAGGGTAGCATCTGCTGGAGACCGCTGCTGGGGCACACGACGTTCAGGGCCTTCACCTTCATCCCTTCCGTCCAGCCTGGCAGCTCCTTCACGTCCAGCTCGACCAGCCTCGATGGCGCCAACTTCGACGGCACCTTCACTGGCCGCACGGCCTTGGGAAGCCGCCGTCCTTCACAGACAGAGCAGGAAAACGTCCGCGCCAGGGCCAACACCATCTCACTCGCCTCGGCGTGCTTCAGGATCCTGACCATGTCCTCATTGCTCGGGTGACCAAGGTTAGCGTGCAACCTCCTGAGGGACGCCTCGAGCGATAGCTTCCGCCGCTTGATTACCTCGTCGTCCTCAGTCGTCGTCAGGGCGTCGGCCGTCTGGGAGACGCAGTCTGCCTCCAGCTGACTTGCCATTGCACCAGCTATCTTCCTGCAGAGGTCCTCAGGGTACTTCTCCGAGAACGCGCTCCTCTTAATACCCTTCGAGCTGTCCCAGCACCACTGATGTTCATGATCACGGGAGCACCGCAGCTCCTTCAGCGTCCACTTGAGCATGTCCGCGTTGGTCGCGAAGCACCACTCCTTGGACATCAGCTTCTGTGTCACCGGATCTTTCAAACCCACTTGGCACCCGTTGACCGACACCCGGTGTACTCCCGCCACCCGACACAGGCCCAGAACCGACGCACAGTCCCAGGATCTCGCCGTCGGCGGTGCCTCGAGCGTGAAGTAGCGACCTCCTCGGATCTGCATCCGAGCCACCACCGCACAGAACCTCAGGTACCCGACCGCCTCCTTGACTGCCTGACGGTACTTCTCCGGATCTCGTCGCACTTCCGCCATCGTCAGGTTCCGCAGGATCGAAAGGGGACCGCATGGAGGGCTCATGCCCACAAACTCCGGCTCCTCGACGTCGACCATGTGTAAGATCTTGTGGCGGTCCGCCGCTCGGCGGGCATCCCAGCCGTTCTGTAGGTCGAACGCACCGAGGCTCTGGAACCCCATGGACTCCAGGGCGGGGGTCACCCGTGGCACCGAAAAGATCTCCAGGCACTTCGGTTGGCGGCCCAGCCGGGCCTGCGCCTCGAGAACACCCCTGATCACCGACCGCTTGGCCCGCCGACTCATGATATCAGTGACGCCTTCTGACCACAGGACGTCGGTGTCGTCCCAGTCGCCGTCAGCCTCTGGGCTCCGGCTCGGCCCTAGCGAAAACCAGACGACGCCGCCACGACGAACTCCTCGTGCTCCTGCTTCTCCTCCGCTGTCAGCCCGTCGTCCTGCTCCGCCGTCACAATCACGTCGACCTCAGCCGTCTGGATCCTCCTGCCGTCCTCGTTCTTCCTCTCGCATAGGTTCAGCTGGTAGTGGCCGCTGGCCGCGACCCGGAGCGGCACCGTGACGTTGATCCGGGCGAACCGAATCTCATCCCGCTCCATGTCCAGCTGCGCGCCGAGGGCCTTGAGCATGGGCTTGCTAACCAGCAGCGGGGTCTCGCCTGGGACGACGCACAGGCGGAGCACCAGGAGGCGACCGCCCACTCGGCACTGTATCTCCGCGGTGTAGATCGACTCCAGTGTCTCCTGGTTGCCGAAGCGGAAGGTCGTCGCTTTCGTCTGCTTGATCGTCTTTACCGCGAGACCTGCTTTCTCCATCTCCATCTTGTGCTCCTTGAGGGTCTTCTCGCCGATGACTCCCTTGCCGCGCCCAGTGTCGACCACGCCCGACCCTGGCTCGTGAGCCGACGCCGTCAGCACCTCTGGCATGTCCTCGTCCTTGGGCATCGCGGTCAGCCTACGGCACGCCTCGATCACGTCATCCATGTCATCCCTCGCCGCCGTGTACGCCTCGTACAGGTCGTCTATGTCCTGATCCTCGTCCTCCTCGTCGGCCGTCAGCTCGCAGTCGCACTCGTCGTCGTCGCTGCAGCCGCCGACGTGCAAGGGCCGCTGGAACTCGTCGTCGCACACGTCGCACTCGAAGGTCTCCTCCTCGACGATGTCCCCGGTCCTGCCGTCGCCGGCCACGAAGACGTCTTCGTCCGAGTCGCTCTCGTAGACCGTGACCACGTCGCCGCGCTTCTCGCCGTCTTTGCCCTTGTGCTTGTGGTCCCGTGGAGGTGGACGGCGTTGACGTCGCGGCTTCTTGCAGTCTCTGCTGAAGTGACCGACCTCGTCGCAATTGTAGCATCGCACTCGCTTCGCCATCGCCTTTGTGTCCGGCTTCTTCGGACCGAAGCCCCGAGCCAGCTGCTCCTTCGTGATCTTGTTGCGCTGATCGCGCCAGGACACAAGTATCTCAATGGCCTCACTCTCGTCCAGGATGTCCCCGTCCTCGGTCTCCTCGATCACGTCGAAGCCCGCCAGCAGCGCCGTGATGTCCGAGACGTCGTCGCTCTCGTCGGCCTCTTCTTTCGCCACGTGCGCCCCGAACGCCTTCGACTGCTGGCCGAAGTCCGCCAAGCCGTTGGGGGTACGTCGTCCTGAGCGCCATCGCCACGTCCTTTTCCTTGTATGATCGGCTCGATGCTGCCAGGACGACCGCGAGGTTCTGCGGCGCCAGGTGCACACCCAGCAGCAGTAGGTACCCACGCGCCATGTCCGGCAGCACTACACCCTCGGTCTCGCCCTTGGCGAACGCCGCCTGAGCTCGACCACAGTAGGCCGCCATCGACTCGCCCTTGGCCAGGCGAATCGTGAATACCTCTTTCAGCGCTTCTCCGAGTCGATCGTGGGCTGCCACGTCGGGGAAGCGTGAGTCGAGAGTCTCGAAGATAAGCTGCTCGCCGCCATCTTGTTCTAGATCGTCCATGTCGACAACCTCCAGCGCTCTGGCGGCGACGTCGTCCAGCAGCGTGAAAAACATTGGCCCTAAGGCCGTCGCTGGCGTCCCCTTCGCCTTCTGCACGATGAGGTACGCCCGCGCCCACTTCTTCCAGGATCGGTATTCCCGAAAAGCGTCAGCTCCACTCCCGGCGAACCTCCTGATCGCGCCGCCGGGACCCCCGTTGTCCGTGCTCATCACCTTCTTCTAGCGTCCCGCCGGCACTCGCCTGAGTACCTCCCGGTGCGACAGCGCCTGCTATCGCGGGGCACGCTCCGCTCTACCAATGCAGATTGGGTTCCGAGGAGGGAGCGCCCGCTCCCTCTTTTCCACACCTGTGGCAAGCCAAAATGCTGCAGCATCAACACGCACATGCACGACAGTAACATACACACCAGGGGCCTCCCCGGGGCCCTGAGATCAGCAATATTCCTACCCAGAGGCCCCCGAGAGACTTCCGAAGAGATCCCAAGAACCAGCCCTGAGGATTCTGGCCCACGTCAGCGTCGTCGTTGCCGCCGCCGCCGCCGCCGCCGCCGTCGTCGTCGTCGTCGTCGTCGTCGTCGTCTTCTTCGTCGTCGTTCTCGTCTCCCTTCAGGGTCGGCGGCACTGGCCGTAAGGCCTTCGCAATAACCTCACACAGCAAACGCACACCGACTCTTGAAGTAGTAAGGCTCTCGAAGAATTGTTTAATAAACATGGGAGTTTTTGGGAGTTTAATCATTCAATCTTTCAACGGCAGGCGTGTATCAGTATGTTGTGATGACGCCGAGATCCTCCTCTGATGCCAGGGCCTGGGTAGCCCGGACCCGCCGCCCCCCAACGGGGCCGCCCAGCACCCGCTGGCCGCGGGGCGCAGCGAAAGGGCTGCCCACCAGCGCGCCTGGGCGCCCTGCCGCTGGAACGCGTCGTAGGTGATGGCCCGGTCAACCTCCGCCGCGCCGATCGGGGATGGAGATCCCAGGCATGCGGTACGTCAGGGTTTTTCAACACAGGGTCCCAGGAGGTCCTGGCCCTTTCCCTGGGGCCGTTTTTGTTGAAACGCAAACAACCAAAAATATGTACGCACTCGGTCCTGCATATTATTTAATCGGTTCTCACATTTACAGGCAATGGTATCAAACGTATTTCTCGCGAGAGCGCATCGCTCGTGCGTCCCCGCGCGCGCGGTGTCGCAATAATCCCCTATTCAAAAAATGATGCGCGCGTGCGGAATTGTTCTGAAAACCAGAACAATTCATGCCGACTTCCAAATCGGAATCACCCAATATATGTATGTATATACATATATACCTATACGACCACCCTTCGGGTGATAAGGAGGTTCGGGGGGGGGAGGATGCAGCGTCTCACTCGATCGGTCTCACTATCCGTCTCACTATCGGTCTCGCTCGATCGATCTCACTCGATCGATCTCACAATCGATCTCACTCGATATATCTCATTCGCTCGGTCTCACAATTGACCTGATTATCGATCTCACAATCGATCTCACATTCGGTCCCACTATCGATCTCACTACCGATATCACAATCGATCTAACAGATCTAACATAAAACGTCATCATCATCATCATCATCATCATCATCATCATCATCACCAACACCATCATTTTCATCGTCATCGGGACACTGTCGTCATCATCATCATCATCGTCATCATCATCATCAACGCCATCATCATCAGGCCATCATCATCATCCCCATCATCATCTCATCATAGTCAGCAACATCATCATCATCATCATCACCATCATCATCATCATCATCATCATCATCATCATCATCGGCACACAGCCTTCATCATCATCATCACACAGCCTTCATCTCAGTATCGATATCACTATCGGTCTCGCTCGATCGATCTCACACGATCGATCTCACAATCGATCTCACAATCGATCTCACTCGATCTATCTCATTCGATCGATCTCACAATTTATCTCACAATCGATCTCACAATCGATCACACAATCGATGTCGCATTCGGTCTCCACATCGGTCTCACTATCGATGTCACAATCGCTCTCACAATCAACGTCATCATCATCATTATCATCATCATCCACATCATTTACATCAACATCATCAACAACATCGTCATCATCATGAGGGCACAGTCACAATCATCATAAACATCATCATCAACGTCAGCATCATAATCGGGACAACATCATCATCATCACCATCATCATCTCATCATCAACACCATCATCATCATCACCATCATCCTCATCATCATCATCATCATCATCGGGACACAGTCATCGTCATCATCATCAGCAGCGTCATCATAATCATCATCAGAATCGGGACACCATCATGATCACCATCGTTCTCATCATCAGCATTATCATCAACACCGTCATCATCCTCGGACACCATCATCATCATGATCATCGCATCATCATCATCATCACCGACATCATCATCATAAACAACATCATCATTGGGGCACCATCATCATCATGAGCAACATCATCATCATCATCATTGGCATTATCATTATTATCATCATCGGGACACCATCAGCATCACCATCATCATCATCATCAACATCACCATCGTCATCATCATCGAGACACCATAAGCATCATCAACATCATCATCACCATCATCATCGCAGGGACACCATTTCCATCAACATCATCATCACCAACATCATCGGAACCATCATCATCATCATCATCATCATCGGGACACCATCATCGTCATCATCATCAACATACTCATCATGAGCATCATCATTCTCATCATCGGGACACTATCATCAATCATCATCATCGACACCATCATCAACATCATCATCATCTTCATCGGGACACCATCATCATCATCATCATCTCATCATCATCATCATTATCATCATCATCAGCAGCATCATCATCATATCATCATCATCATCACCGTCATCATCAATCATCATCATCATCATCATCATCATCTTCATCATCATCATCATCCTCGCGGGACAGAGCGGAACACCGGCGGGGCACCGCGGGGCACCGCGGGACACCGCGGGACACAGCGGGACACCGCGGGACACCGGCGGGACACCGCGGGCCACCGGCCGCCCGGAAAGGAATCATTTGGTCCGGCCGCGCCTCAGCCACACGGGACACCAGCGGGACACCGGCGGGACACCGCGGGCCACCGGCCGCCCGGAAGGGAGTCATTTGGTCCGGCCGCGCTTCAGCCACAGGAGACTTTCTTTCGCCCGCCCACGCAGCTTCGCCTCGCCCGCACGGCACGCACGAACACGAAACCGAAATCGATTTCCCGGTAGTGGGGCTGTCCGTTCAACTTCGATCTCACCCCCTCACCTCCGACAGATACATATACACATACACACATATATATAACACGGTTTTACAACATCATGATTAAAACATGCCTGCGTTCGCGCCCCTGCGGATTCGTCAAAAGCCATGATTGCCTTGCTTGTGCTTGTGAATTTCCATTGGATTCTTTTAAACAGGCCTTTCGCGCCGCATGTCGAAATCATGCGAACGCCCTTGTTTGCGTGCTGGGGGGCGCGATCCGTGTCAAAGAATACCACGCGGGCCGCTTTCGCGCGTCGGCCGCGCGCGCATGTCCAATGCCTTCCAAAACCTTCATCACCGACGCGAGGCCGTCGTCATCGTCATCACCCTGATCAACATCGGCGTCGTCATTGGCTTTGCTGTCGTCGTTCCCATCGTCGCCAGCGTCAACATCACCACAACCATCATCGTTTCTACCGTTGTCGACATTGCCCCGGTACCGCGCCCTCCCGAGTCACCGACTCGCACTGAAGTGCCCGCTGGGAAGTGCCCAGCGGTCGGCGCCACCGCGGCCGCGTCCGTCGCGCTGAACTAGCTGGCCGCTGCGCGCGCGAGCATACGCGGGCTTGCGCGGCCGCAAGGATGCACGCGCGCGCGTCTCCGCGCGAGCGTGCCGAAATCCGTCAGAAACCCGCGGGTTCGTAGCGAGTTCAAAACCGAATGTAAAAAAAAAGAAGAAACAACAAAAAAACACTTCTTCGCCCCCAGCGAAGAAGCCTGGGGGCAGAGAGGCGCGGCCGACGAGGGGGGGGCGGAGAAAAAGAGGGGGGCGTAACGCAGCCCGCGCGCGGGCTGCCGGTGCACCGACTTCACCTGGCGGCCCACTGCACCATGCGCGCCCGCATGGCTTCGCGCCAGTCGGCCGCGCGCCCGCCAACCTAGACCGCGGGCAGCACCAACCGCCAACCGCTGCCAACGTGGGCGCAGACGCCCGCAGCGCATGCAGCCCACCCAGCCTGGACCTTGCGCGGCGGCGTGGGCTGCCAGGCCTGCCCCGCGAACAGGGCGGCGCAGCCGCGCGCGTTGCCTGGCTGCGCTGGTGCCGCAGCAGCTGCAGGGGGCGCCGAGCACGCCCCGCCGTCCCTGCTGTAGTTCACTTTCAGGGCGGCCAGCTCCGCCTCGACACACTACAAATACACGCAAAACACATGGCTTCGCAACATCAGCATTCAAAACAGCGTGCGCTCGCGCACTTGCGCATTCTTCCGGAAACCCATGAATTTTGGCACCTGTTGCTGAAATTCTGCAAAATTGGCCTCTGGCGCCGCATGCCGGCATCATTCGCGCGCCCATGCGCGCGTGCTCGGGGGGCGCTATCCGCGTCAAATGAAACCATGCGGGCCCCTCTCGCGCGTCGGGCGCGCGCGCGTGTCGAACTCTTTCCAAAACCTTCAGCACCGACGCGAAGACGCCGTCAGCGTCGTCGGCACGAGCAGCATCGGCGCCCGCGCTGGCCGCGCCGTCGTCGGTGTCAACATCGCCACCAGCATCGCTAAGATCACCATCGCGTCTACTGTTGTCGAGGTCGCCATGATAACGCGCCCGCCCAGGTCGCTGACGCGCAGTGAAATGCCCGCGGGGATGTGCCGGGCGGGCAGCGCCGCTGCGGCCGCGTCGCCGGCGCCGAACTAGCTGGCCGATGCGCGCGCCAGCGTTGGCGCTGCCGCAGACATGCACCAGCCAATGCCAAACGCTCATCGCAATCGCCGCCGCCTGGGTTTTGCAAACTAAATTGTGGGTGGATGGGTGGGGCGTTTGCAACGGCATCGGATGTGTCAACTCGCTCGAACCAATTGCACCGCTTAGATTGCAGGTTCTCCGGTCCCACAAACATGCGATGAGATCTAGCCCCCCCGCCCTGGGTTAACAAGTCGCTCGCGCGTCTCGCGTTGTTTTGTCGCGCATAACTCAGCGCGCTCGTCCATCCCAAGTGCGAACTCGCAAAAACCCTAGGCGCGCCGGTCATCGGCGACCCCGTTCCCCTTGTCAAATGAAACTATGCGGGCGCGCTGCTCGCGCTCAAAATCGTTGCCCAAGAACCGCTGGGAGAAATGGGCGAAGCGCGCGCGCGACGTCGTCGCGCGCGCGCGCGCCGAGCACCTTCCTTCTTTCGTTTTCAATCGGAAAGAAATGTCGGCCTCGTAAGGGTTCTAAACTTGAGCGCCCCGACAACGCAGAAACGCTGGCGCAGACGCAGAAGCGCTCAATCAAGCTTGCGCTCGCTTTCTTTCGAATTCCAAAACGAAGCAAAAAAAAAACTGCGTTTTCCACGCGTTCACCAAACGCGGTCAAACGTGCCACTCGCGCGCGCGCGTCGCAATCACTCGAGCGCCCGAGCGCGCGCTGTCGCGGGGGCCCCGAAGCGCAGAAACTGGGCGGAGCGCGCGAGCGCGCGCCGTCGCACGCGCGCGCGCGCGCCAGAATCACTAGCTTTAGGTTTCGCAACAATTGAAATCGAGCGCGCCTGCGCCGAACTCATCTATCAATATGTGCATATATGTATATGAAGAAGAAGAAGAAAGGCTTCGCAACAGGATCTGCGACGAAAAAGATTGCGCTCGCGCTCTCATGATTCATTATGTAAGCCACGTGCTTTTCAAAATTTCCAT